CGTCCAGTATAGCAATTATTTTTACAATGATAGCGTATTGGGGTTTGGGGTAGGCTTATCAGGGCTTTTCCTTCCGACTAATAAGCTAACTCAGTATTGTAGTAGCGGCAGTTGATCTTTATTATTATAATATAGTGAGACGATCTATATAGACACTATCATTAGTATTTAGCCATCAGTAATTGCAACTCTAGTCTTTAGTAACGATCAGCGATTCTCCCATTTAGAATACGTAAGAATTGTGCACTATATTCATTGGGATGTCCGGCAGATTTATTTATTCTTTGGCTAGTTAGCTTATTCAGTGGGGTTTCGTAGAGGTAGGTGCCCATGAAGGCACAGTCAGTTTTTGGCAATATCTTTTTATAAACTTAGACTGGGATCTTTATCAATCATTTCTACCTCTTATGGACAAATATTTTCACATTGGTCCGTAGCAATAGTAAGCAGTAATTTGCAACTATTTAGGCAATTTGAAAGTATCAATTTAGAACAATTTTATACACTAGCTTACTGCTGACTATACGTCAAATGATCAAGTTGCAATAATTTGGACATTGTAATCATTTAATTGATGTGTATTATTCATCTCTTTATACTCCCTCTTGGTGTATTGAGAGTTTTTTTATATTCACACTTTATTTTATTTTAATCAGACTATTAAAAGTTAATTTTTAACCTTACCTATTCTATGGCAGTAGTCCTTTCTTTTTTCTTTTGAATTATATTAGTTAGGGTTAACCCCTTTACTGCCGAAGTTTTCAATTAAGCTTCCACTTTCCTTTTTTTTTTTCAAATTATATATACATATATATTTATTTATTTTTCTTATGTTTTCCTGCAATTGGTAGTGTGATATGATATATATCATTTATTAATTAACATTTCTGGTCTCTACTTTTAATGGAATGAAATACACGCTACCAACTGCAGGAATCATAGGTATCATGAAACTATATACGGAGTGAAAGGGACACTATAGTCACCAAAACAACTTTAGCTTAATGAAGCAGTTTTGGTGTATAGAACATGCCCCTGCAGTTTCACTGCTCAATCCTCTGCCATTTAGGAGTTAAATCACTTTGTTTTTGCATCCTTAGTCACACCTCCCTGCATGTGACTTGCACAGCCTTTCTAAACACTTCCTGAAAAGGAACCTAGGTGTTCTAGGTTACTTTATTGCACAGTTGTTTAATCTAGAATTTCATGCATCATGCTCTGTTCATAGCCTTCTAGACCTTGCAAGAGCCTCCTGTGTGTGATTAAAGTTAAATTTACAGAGCAGTGCATAGAAACTTCTAGAGCAAGTTAACAATAAAAATTAAACCATTTGTCATCCTGCAGTCTGTGTGAGAATTTAGCAGTGAACTGCAGGGGCATGATCTATAGACCAAAACTGGTTCATTAACCTAAAGTATCCCTTTAATCATCGACACCTGAATACCAACTCATATCTCAACCTGCTAGTTTCTTAACATGGGAGTTAATTCCTGTTGCATGTGTTCTGGTCAACTAGAAGCTGACTGGTTAATAATGGTTGCAGAGCTAATTCTTTTGGATGGCAAGATGCAGGCAGGCTGAAGGTGCAGGAGTGCCGGGTTAACTTACTTAAAGGACCACTGGGCAGAATGTTTTTACAGCAGGCAGGGTTAACCATAGATGGACCTGGCACCCAGACCACTTAAGCTGGGTGCCTATAGTGGTCCTTTAAAGGGTGATTCCTTGAAAAGCATTTTTTTTGTTTATAGGAGCAAGAGTAACATTCTGACTCAAAGCAAAACAAACTAGTTTTCCTGGCATTATAGTATTAATAGGTCCCCCCACCCTCAGGGTACCCCTCCCGCTGGGCTTAAGAGGGGTTAAGGGGTTAAAATCTTACCTTTCTCCAGCGCCGGGCTCCCTCGGCGCTGGGGACTCTCCTCCCTCTTCTGCCGAATGCGCATGTGCGACAAGAATGCGCATGCGCCTCTAGCGGCTGTAAATGAGACAGCCACTAGAGGCTGGATTAACCCTAATGTAAACATAGCAGTTTCTCTGAAACTGCTATGTTTGCCGCAGGCAGGGTTAACCATAGATGGACCTGGCACCCAGACCACTTCATTAAGCTGAAGTGGTCTGGGTGCCTATAGTGGTCCTTTAAAGGGTGATTCCTTGAAAAGCATTTTTTTTTGGTTATAGAAGCAAGAGGAACATTCTGACTCAAAGAGATGTGGGAGCAGGGGTCCCATTGGAGCCATGGCTCCAGTCGTCACCTGGACAGGGACGGCATTTTGCCACCCTTGTACACTGCTGCTAAGGGCCTTGCCTGTCTTATTGCATACATATATCAATATTACCGCTATATATGTATGCAAGTCCGGGTTCCTGTTGGTTTACACAATGAAGAGGGGCCGGGAGAAGAGAGGAGGTGATGCTGCAGACTCCCGCACCCCAATACAACATGGTGATCCACCAGACCACCAGGGAATCCAGTGTCCCCCCTCCCTGACCACAGGTAAGTGGCAGGGAGCAGGGAATAAACTTAATTAAACAAAAAAAAAAACCTGCTCTCTCCACACACACACACACACTCAAAACCACAAACAGACACTACATTAAGTTTATACACTGCATCCACTACACAAACAATGCATTGACTACACACCATAGGCGTGCGCAGCCTATTGCATTAGGGTGTGCACCCTAAAGCACAAACACACGCTGCATATATATATATATATATATATATATATATATATATACACACAAACACATACATACACTTCTGTTTGAGGGTGCTGTTAGTGTGAGGGTGCTGGTAGTGTGCTATGTGGGTAAGGGTGATGTTAGTGTGCTGTGTGTGAGGGTGCGGTTTGTGTGTGAGGGTGCTGTTTGTGAGCTGTGTGTGAGGGTGCTGGTAGTGTGCTGTGTGTGAGGGTGTTTGTGTATGTGTGTTAGGGACCTGTTTTTGTGCTGTGTGAGGGTGCTGTGTGTGTGAGGTGCTGTTTGTGTGCTGTGTGTGTGTGAGGGTGCTGTGTGTGTGTAATGTTTGGAGGGATTGTGAAGGTGGGAGTCCTTGCTGCCATGTGCCATCACTGGTGGTCCAGTGGAGAGTGAACTCTAGCCTGTGGAGCTAGAGTTCACTCTCGCGAGATTTATACACACATATATATATATATACATACATACACGTGCACACATACACTGACACACATACACAGACACACACATACACTCACAGACACACACACATACATTTACAGACACACATACACACACACACACATTCACAGACATACATACACACACTTACAGACACACGTACACACACACACTTACAGACACACACATACATTCACAGACACACATACACACACACACACACATACATTCACAGACACACACACATACTCAGACACACACACACAGACACTCACAATTTTTTTTTTTAATTAAAAAATGTCCACCCAGCCTCCCCACCTGGAGAGCGGGCGTGGACCTGTCCCTGGGGTCCAGTGGGTCAGGCACCTGTCTCCATCTCAGACGTGGTGAGGGAGCTGTGTGCTCTCTGCTCCCTCTCGCCGCGCGGGCTGTCTGCTGTAGCTGGGAGCCGGAATATGACGGCGAGAGGGAGCAGGGAGCAGAGAGCACACAGCTCCCTTGCCGCGTCTGAGATGGAGACAAGCCTCCGGGGATGAGGGGTGTCCATCACCTCTTGGCCCCCCCAAGACAGGGGGGACACGGGGGGAGGAGGAGGGCATTTGGGGGCCGCAGAGTGCCTGCACACCCCGTGTGCACGCCTATGCTACACACTGCATTCACTACACACACACACACTACATCCACTACACACACTTCATCCACTACATAAACTACATCCATTACACACTACATCAACAACACACATTGCCTCTATTACACGAGCACACACACACTGCATCCACTACACAAACACACACTCCACATACACTATACACACACACACATACTGAATGCACTTGACACAATGTATCCAGTACACAAATTGCATACAATACACAAACACAGACATTGCATCCACTATACACACAATGCATTCATTACACACTCTGCAACCACTGTTCACACACATAATGCATTCACTACACAAACATTGTATTCACTATACACACTGTATAACATAATGGATGTTGACGTGTTTGGGTGGAGGGGGGGCAAGCATGTTATTCTTCTTATTCCAGGCAGCACAGTGTCTTCGGTCGGCCATGTGTTGGACTAAAAAGCCCCACATCTGGAACTTCATCCCCTAAAGCACCACCCCTAGTGACATCCATAATATAATTTTGTTTAATGTAGCTCTAAGAGCAGTTGTTTTGTACTACATACCATTTACTACATGTTTGCTGTAAAAGTCAGAGATAGAGATTTATAATAGTGTTGCAAACACAAAAAGGGGCAACGTTCTGAAATTGAAACAATGATCATGAAAAACAATACACTAAGGAAGTTATGTTTGATTTACATGGTGACAAGCTCCACTTTTTAAACTCCAGCATCACTTTTTTCTGTCTCTCCTAATGTGGCCAAAGAATAAATAAAAGGGTAATTATAAAGCAGCAGGCTGTGTTGAAATAACACAGAAACTCAACCTTGCAGAAAGTAGTATCATATTGTTTTTGAATCATGTAAGGAACTGATGTAGAACAAGGAAACAAAGTTCTGTATTACTTTCCATAACTGGCTTTGACTATTTACAAACTGATGATAATGACACTATTTATATGTGTTGTATTGTTTCGCTGTAAACCAGAAATTAGTCAGCGTATATTTTAGTTTAATGCTGTTTGTGTTTGATGCCTTGTCCTCTAGCAGTTTTTGGTGTGCATTTATCATTTTCTGCCAACTAAGGCCTAAAATTATTTTTTTTAGATTTGTTTACAGAACCATAATCACTACAGCCCGATCTAGTTGTTGTTGTGCTCGGAGAGACCAGCAGACTTATTGAGTAATTTGTCAAACTGTAGAATGCTTTGACAACTTACCTGGGTCCTGTCTGCATCCGTGCACCCGCATTTTCCTTGTAGGAGAATTTGGCTAGATCCACTCTGCCAATAAGTGCAGTTCTGTATCAGACCTCCTTAGCTCAATAAGGACATTTGTTTCTCCTGCAGGAGATCAGCAATAGCTCAGGTGCCTGGGGGACCCAGGTAAGTTGTGAAACCTTTCTAAAATATTTTAACAGATTACTCTGGGAGAGTGTTAGGGCACCTCTGCACCATAATCACTGCATGGGCTGTAATAGTTATGGAGCTTTTAGTGTCACTTTAATAGACATACTGCCATCAAGGAGATCTTGAACATGAATTTCAGTCCCATCTAGTACTTCAGTTTCTCACATCAACCAACCCCTCTCTCTAGTTCTCTTCCAATCCTGATCTCCTACTGCTATATTAGGGAGAACAGCACTCCCTACTGACATTTCAGTTTCCTTTCACCATGCCTCCTCATTCATCTTTACCTTACTTTTTAACCTGTCAAAGTAACATAATTTCAGACTCTATGGAGAGTCGATTGGCATTTAGAATTTCTGCGAAGGTTTAGATAAAGCGTCATCCAAATAGCCATCAGGTTAGAATAGGGCCTGTGGTAATATTAATTGATGCACACAAACTCTTCTATATTTTTACAATTTTTTCAGACCCTTTGAGCCTTGTAAGAGAGTGCCATTACTTACGTCACTTTGGGCTGTTGCTGACGACACATTCTAATCACCTAAGAAGTAAACCAAGAACAGTAACGAGAAAACATTCACACACATATATGGTGTATGTGTGACTAAACAGGTTGTCTGTTAATGTCTTATTAAGATATCAGTTAGGCCTAGAGTCATACGTAAGGTGTCGTAGTGCTTTCATGTTTAGCTCAACAAAAATACAAGAAGAGCACACACTTTGCATACCTTTATTAAAGCTATTCACACATGGGCATATACTACTGTGGGGCTAATGTAATTTACATGCCTAGAAAATAAATCTATAAAAAAAATGTAAATTACTTTTTTAATCAAATCAAATAAAAACAAATAGCATAGCTAGACTTTATTTAGCTTTTGGGTGGCGCGAAGCTCTGACATTTCTGTTCTAAAGGTGGAACTGTGCAGGCCTAATGTGGTTTATGATCTCTTATTATATGGTGCAATAAAAAGAGATGTAGGCAGGGTCAATAAGAGGAATTATATGGAAAAATAAAATGAGTTATTGGCAAGGGAACATGGGTCAGTAGGATCAACAGTTATGGTGTGCAGTGGGTGAATCTATAATTAGGGAAGTAGTGGCATATAAGGAGGAACTATAGGCATGGCTTATATAGAATATTGGGAAATGTTATAAGAGGTTCTATGGATAATTAGTTTTCTGGAATGATTATATTAAAGGGACACTATGGTCACCAGAACAACTATGTTTAATGTAGTTGTTCTAGTGACTATAATCATTGTCTTCAGGCATTTTAATGCAAACTCTGCTTTTTCAGAAAAAAGGCAGTGTTTACATTGCCCCCTAGAGACACATCTAAGTGGCCACTCTTCAGATGGCCACTGGAGGTGCTTCCTGGGGCAGTGCTGCACAGTAGGCAGCACTGCCGTTCAGCGTCTCCACGCTCTGCATGGGGACCCTGAATTTTCCTCTATGAGCAGGTGCTGTTTGGCTAAAACAGCATTTGGCACTGCCTCCTTTGTGATTTCAGCCAATGCAATGCTTTCCCATAGCATTGGATTGGCTAAAAATGGGCAATTCCGATGATGTCACCAAGGAGACGGATTGGGGGTGGGGACAGAGAGCCAGACAAGCCACCTAAATGGTGGATTAAATATTACAGGTTCAGGAATACATGTTTGCATTAAGGTAGGTTACATGTAAGATGAGTTGTTACAGGGAATGAGGTGTATGGGGGGGATTGTACTGTAGGCAGCGATGTATCTTACACGAGGCAAACAAGGCATTTGCCTTGGGCGGCACTTTGCAGGGGGCGGCAAAAAAAGCCACACCCAAACGCCCAGGCGGATGCCTTGTTTGCCTTGTGTCCTGGGGGGCTCAAGAGCTGGCCGTCTGGGCACTTTTGATCCACCCCCCTCCCCACCCTGAGGCTGGCGGCAGCTTCTATCGCGGTGGCCAGCGAGGGAGCTCTTATCTTTCTGCTCAACTCCCTTCTATGCCTCTTAGTGAAGCCGGGAGCCGGAATATGATATCACTTCATGCCCGCGCAGGGGGAAGTGTGTATGTGTGTCTGTGAGTGTTGGGGAAAGTGTGTGTGTGTCTGTGAGTGTTGGGGGAAATGTGTCTGCGTCTGTGTGTTTCAAATCAGTGAGTGTTTGTGTATGTCATTGTTTGTCAGTATATATCTGAGTGTGCGTCTGTCAGTGTATATGTGAGTGTGTGCGTCTGTCAGTGAGTGTGTTAAATCAGTGAGTTTTTGTGTATGTCATTGTTTGTCAGTGTATATGTGAGTGTGTGCGTCTGTCAGAGTGTGTCAAAAACAGTGTATATGAAAGTGTGTGTCTGTCAATGAGTGTGCGCCTGTCAGTGAGTGTGTGCGCGTCTGTCAGAGTGTGTCAAATCAGTATGTATGTCATTGTTTGTCAGTGTGTGTGTGTGTGTCTGTCTGTCAGTGAAATTGTGTGTTGGTTAAACAGTATGTGTGCCGATGACTATAGTTTAGTGAGTGTAGGTCAGTGAATGCATCAGTAAGAAAGTGTCTGTCAGTCAAAGTGGGTCCTTGACAAGAAGGGGTAGGGGAAATTTAAATATGGGGGGAGGTGCCTAGGGCAACACAAATCCAAAATACACCGCTGACTGTAGGGTAATATCAAATAATGATAGAAGTTAGAGAGAGTATGGTATTCAACAGTAAGTAAGCTATAATTAAGAGTGAGTATTATCTTTCCTTCATATGTATAAGTGTAGCGGATATTTGGAAAACAAATGATTATTCCAAATCAAAATAAGTTTCAGTATGTTTATTTCTGGTTAATTTTATTTGAAACACTGAGACTTCTTCTTCTGTATTATTCGGTGTCATTCAATTCCTCAAAGGAGTCCATTCCCACCTCTTCATAGTCTTTTTCCAGTGCTGCCAAGTCCTCTCGAGCCTCAGAAAACTCCCCTTCCTCCATGCCTTCCCCAACATACCAGTGAACAAAGGCACGCTTGGCATACATCAAATCAAATTTATGATCAAGTCTGGCCCACGCCTCAGCGATGGCAGTTGTATTACTGAGCATGCAGACCGCGCGCTGTACTTTGGCCAGATTCCCTCCTGGAACTACTGTGGGAGGCTGGTAGTTAATGCCAACCTAAGACACAAAAATACAAGAGAATATTTTTCTTCAATAAATTGTTTCTGGAGATATGGAAGAGACTAAACATTCTACAAAGCATGAGAATTACCCCACTAAGAAAATGTATAATAAACGAACAAAGAACATAATATTGATATATATCAAAGGAACTTCAGTTGTTATCCATTTAAGTTCATTTCCTGATTTGTGCCTTCTCCCCTGTACCTGTTAGCCTCTTCTATTTTCTGTTCTATCCCCCACATATACTTGTACATGAGCCTGTTTCAGTTTGTCACTCTCCTTTGTATCAGTCTGGCCACCCCATCCCTGTGTCGGTCCAACTTTGGTTTTCTACCCTACAGTCTGCTCCTACATGCAGCCCAGAGTGTTTCTCTATGTCTTTCCCATTGCACGTTACTGTCTTTCATTCATCCAGCCTTTACTTCCCTTCTACTAGAATCTGTATCCCCTTGGATTTTTCTAAGTTCCCCACCCTAGTGCCTGTATATTCTTTCCCCCTGTCTTCTCTCTTCTAAGTATGCATCTGCCCTTCTTGACCTGAATTAGTCTGGCCAACTACCTAGGCGTCTATATTCCCAGTATGACATGAAGTCCTTTCTGTTTCTATCTTCTCTTATCACAGTGTTGGTCAACATTCCCTTTCTCTGAAGTATGGCTGGTACCTCCCTCCACCCCACACTGTCAAATCTAATACACTTACCTAGCCTAGTGTCTGTATAGCTTTCTTAGCTATGTCTGTATGTTTTCCTCCCAGTGTCTCTCTGCCCTTCGCACTATCACCTTGATATAATATTTTGGATACGCTTTTCAAATGATTATATTTTTGGATAAGCGTGGTATTATTATTTGATACTTTGAAAGATATTTTAATATTTTGATTGCTTGCCTTTCTGTCCCCTTAATCAGTCAGTCTGTAAGCTCTTTGCAATTTCATGACTGAACAGTTATATCGGTCTGTTCTCCTCATTTCTCCTTCTGCCATCATCCCTTTCTGATATATATCCCTCTGTCTGGCCAATATTATGAGCATAATATTATGAGCATACTTTATACACGCAGAAATTATATCGGAATTATACATATTCAGTGTCTACACAAACACATATATAAGGATACTCATGATTTGTAAGCTTAAATAAATATAATCAAGTTAGCCATTAAATATTACTGCATTTCACGTACAGAGGACATTGTGTGTGTCACTACGCACCTTAAACCCTGTAGGGCACCAGTCCACAAACTGAATACTCCTCTTTGTCTTTACATTCGCTATAGCGACGTTGACATCCTTGGGAACAACATCACCCCGATATAACATGCAGCAGGCCATGTACTTCCCATGTCTTGGATCACACTTCACCATTTGGTTAGTTGGCTCAAAGCAGGAGCTGGTAATCTCTGACACAGACAGTTGCTCATGGTATGCCTTTTCTGCTGAGATTATGGGTGCATAGGTTACCAGCGGGAAGTGGATGCGTGGATAAGGGACTAGGTTGGTTTGGAACTCAGTCAGGTCCACATTGAGGGCGCCATCGAAACGTAGTGAAGCTGTGATGGACGAAACAATCTGAGCTATGAGTCTATTAAGATCTATGTAGGTTGGACGTTCTATGTCTAGGTTTCTCTGGCAGATGTCAAAAATAGCTTCATTATCAACCATAAAGGCACAGTCAGAGTGCTCCAGTGTGGTGTGTGTGGTTAGAATGGAGTTGTAAGGCTCCACCACTGCTGTGGAGATCTGTGGTGCTGGGTAGATGGCAAATTCTAGCTTGGACTTCTTGCCATAATCCATGGAGAGTCGTTCCATCAGAAGAGATGTGAACCCCGAGCCTGTGCCCCCTCCAAAACTGTGGAAAATGAGAAATCCTTGGAGTCCTGAGCAGGCATCACTCTAGATATAAAGATGTAATAAGGTAAATTTAAGCAAGTTATGTACTTACTCATATTTGTAAAAGTATCTACTTGTCATTATCTGTAACTTCAACACAATATAACCAATGGGAGGTAAGCAAAGCAGAGTTTCCATCTGACACTAGCTACATACAGCTAGGCAAGTAGTTTTAAAGGGCACACTCTAGGGCACGCTAAGAAAACAGCAAGGCAGTGTAGGGCTCACCTGAGAGGTTTTGCCTTGATGTGGCAGGTGAGCTTACACTTTAATGGCCATTGGAGGACACTAAAAAAACTCCAGTTATTTAAATGTGCATAGGGATTTGGGATAGTGTGCAATTAACAATTTTCTTTGTTTTTTATTGTATGTATTGGGGCTGATTTGTACTATGGTCATTGCTGTAGGAGTAGTGAGAGTTTGAGCGCAGGGCTTAGTTTAGTATGTTAATATTTTCTTTTCTTAACTTCTTAAAGGACCACTATAGTGCCAGGAAAACATACTCGTTTTCCTGGCACTATAGTGCCCTGAGGGTGCCCCCACCCGGCTCTGGAAGGGGGAAAGGGGTAAAAACTTACCTTTTTCCAGCGCTGGGCGGGGAGCTCTCCTCCTCCGATCCTCCTTCTCTCCTCCCAGTCGGCTGAATGCGCACGCGCGGCAAGAGCTGCGCGCATTCAGCCGGTCGCATAGGAAAGCATTTACAATGCTTTCCTATGGACGCTGGCGTGCTCTCACTGTGAAAATCACAGTGAGAAGCACGCAAGCGCCTCTAGTGGCTGTCAATGAGACAGCCACTAGAGGATTAGGGGGAAGGCTTAACTCATTCATAAACATAGCAGTTTCTCTGAAACTGCTATGTTTATGAAAAAATGGGTTAACCCTAGCTGGACCAGGCACCCAGACCACTTCATTAAGCTGAAGTGGTCTGGGTGCCTAGAGTGGTCCTTTAATAAATACCCATATCAGGATGCTTCTAATAGTGTCTTTACAGTGTAACATTAAAGATTAACCATTTCCTACCAATTTTCTGATTCGGTCCAATACTAAGTCAATGCTTTCTTTGCCAATGGTGTAGTGACCACGCGCATAGTTGTTTGCTGCATCCTCTTTGCCTGTGATCAGTTGATCTGGATGAAACAGTTGGCGGTAAGGTCCACAGCGCACCTCATCTGGGAATTTAAAGTGTTCAAGTCAATACAAAAGATATTTTCAATCTCAATTAATAGAAAAGAAAACTCAAACCAAACTGTTAATCACTCACCAGTGGTGAGAGAGCGTCCTTGCTGCAGTAACACTTTGCCTCTAGGAGATCATCACTAAAGATGATCTTCTGGCCAAACCAATGCTTCTCAAAGAGAACTTCTCTATGAACAAGTGCTCACAGTAAGTGAAAAGCACCTACCTGACTGTCTGATTGATGGCCAGAATGGGCAACCTAGTAGCTTAATTAAAAAAAAAGTGCAGCTATCTTTTGAAGTGCTTTGGAGGTTTGCACTATTCTTTTAAATCAAACAAAAATTTAATTAAAAAGCAATAACAAAACCTTCAAAGTTTGTAAAGCTTTTGCATTTGTACAGACACAACAGACAGTTCTTCCCATACTAGGAAGAGGCTCCACCAATGAGGAGCTTTTCCTTCTAGTTCAATGGGTGTTTTGGAGAGGGTTATGGGAAGCCACCTAATGTTCCACTTATCACCTAGGATCAATTTAACGGTTCCATTGCTATCAGCCTAGTTACAGTCGCTGTTTTACAGGTTTGGCAAGTGATGATATTAGCAATTTTAAACTGTCACAAAATAATACTATGCAATACAGAGGCTACGGAAATTTTTTTTTTTTATCTTGACCTATTTGTTAGTATAGTTAATAGGGTTTAGGTGCAATAGAAAAGTGTTGGGCACAGGACTTCGAGTAGTGCTGTACTGCTTCTCTATTTCACCCAGCCCCTAGTTAATGCACTAGCCAGGAGAAGAAGAAACATGCCAATTCACTCATGCTTAGATCACCAGAGAGAGAACACTTACCTATCACAGAGCTTTCCAGATCCACAAACACTGCCCGGGGCACATGCTTGCCATTGTCAGTCTCACTGAAGAAAGTTGTAAATGAGTCATCAGATGAGCCAGGAGCATCTTTGTCCACAAATGATCCATCTGGTTGGATTTTGTGTTCCAGACAAAAGAGCTCCCAGCATGCATTGCCAATCTGAACTCCCGCTTGGCCCACGTGTATTGATATACATTCCCTCTATTTAAAAAAAAAAAGGTGGGGGGGGAGTTAATGTATATAAAGCACAAAAAATTTTTTTTGGTATTGTACTTGTTAGTGTATGGAAAAAAATAACCCTGTATACAAATAGCTTTAACAATAAATATAACTAAAATGTAAACTTATACTAAGAAATAAAGCATGGAAACATACACATTAGGTGATATATACTAATTATATGTTCTTACCCTATTCTTAAACCAATTCACAAGTTAATGTATGTGGCCAGGATTATCTTCAACACTAACAGGACCTCATATAATCTGCTCCACTGTATCTAATAGTATTATTTATATACTGTCAACATGATGGCACATTATAATCAGCGGACTGTTACATGTAAACACGGTTGTAAGATCTGCTAGTGGATTTAAAGAATTTGTAGACATTTCGGGTTGGTGAAAACACTATGCAAACCGTTTCTCTAAACACTGTAAAATAAGGTGCTGCAGGCCCTGTAAAATGGTTGGGCCTTGCTTGGCTGCTTCTTTTAGTCCTATGCAAAAACAGCTCTCTGTGGTAACGCACCCCAAACACATCATATGGCAGATGACACAAATAGGACATCTGAATCCAATGAAATTCTATGTTATATTCAACACATTCCACACATAACATACAGATTTAGTTTTGATCCCCCACATTGTAGGTGTAGAACAGTCTGCTTTCTCCGAAATTAAGGCCCAGCACAGAATGTCCCTCCAGCCGTTGCAGGAAGAAATGAACAGCATAACTTGGATTTGGTTACAGGATAGGGAGCTATAAACAGCTACCAATTAAATGGCAGGCAAGCTGGCACACATATACTGTATACACAGGAGCACTGAAACACAAAAAGTATCTATCTATCTATCTATCTATCTATCTATTTTGGCTATTGTGATCCTAAATTTGAAATTTACTTTGAATTCTCACTTAAGTGAATAACTCTGTCAGTGTGTTTGAATGTAATCTTGTATGTGGCATTTTTAAAGGAAAAAATCCATACTGGAAAATGGAAAGAAAAAAATAAAATAAGATTGCATATCCTTTTGGTATAACCCATTGGAGGGTATGCACTAAACTAGGAATTGTGGAGAACTGGAAAAGGATTTGAAAATGTTAGGCTGTATTATAACTGGGAAATGATGCATGTTGATGCATAACACAGAGACTGTTATACTGAATGTGGTTTATCTGTCAAGACAAATGTGTGTTACAGCACCATGTTTAAAGGAAGTGCTGCTAAATTATGTCATCTGATTACATACTGAAAGGAATACCCCAAGCACCATAACCACTACAGTGCGCAGACGACACCCCAATGTAAACAGTCAGTCCATTTTAGAATGGCTTGACTCATTACTTAAGGTTCATTACTTAAGGTCTGCTGGTGCAGCTCATGTCTCTCAGAAAGCTAGAAATTACCTGATTGAGCTAAGCTTGAAGGTGCAGGGAGCGATCAGCTGACACTCTCAGCCAATGAGCTATCCCTGCACTGCCGGACTTAATTTGGAAAAGCTTCCGGCTTTCCTTTGCAGGAGAGGAGACCCAGCAGATACAGGGGATACATTCAAACCGTCAGCAAATACATTGGCGCTAGGGCATCCTGGCAAGCTGTAGTGATTATATTGCATGGAGTGTTGTATTGTATTTGTTCTGGCGAGTAGAATCATTCCCTTTTTCAGAGAAAATGCAGTGTTTACATTACAGCCTAGACTCAGGGATAGGCAACCTTCGGCACTCCAGATGTTGTGGACTACATCCCCAATAATGCTCTTACACACATAATGCTGGCAAAGCATCATGGGAGGTGTAGTCCAAAACATCTGCAGTGCCGAAGGTTGCCTATGCTTGGCCTAGTGATAACTCCACTGGCCACTCCCCAGATGGCTGCTAAAGCTGCTTCCTTGTGCAGTGCTGCAGAGTAAGGAGCACTTACATTCAATGTCTCCACCCTCTGCATGCAGACACTGAACTTTCCTCATAGAGATGCATTGATTCAATTCATCTCTATGAGGAGATGCTGATTGGCCAGGGCTGTGTTTGGCTTGTGCTGGCTCTGCCCCTGATCTGCCTACTTGACAGTCTCAGCCAATCCTATGGGGAAGCATTGTGATTGGCTCAGACCACCACTTTTGATGATGTCGGCAGACAGAGGCAGTTCAGGGGCAGAGCCAGCAGCTTCAGACTTGAATTCAAGTAAGATTTTACTATATTGAGGGACGCAAAGCGTGCCAGGGAGCTAAAAGGTGGTTTTAACACTATAGGGTCAGGAATACATGTTTGTGTTCCTGACCCTATAGTGTTCCTTAAAGTATTAACAAAGTCATTAATGAGTTTACAGAAAGATTGGTTAGAATAGTTGAAAAGTTCTTTTCAGTAAGAAATCAAAAGGTAATATCTGCTCTATAAAGTGCCTGATTTGCCGATTTTATATTTTAAATATGTATATGCACTTGAATGACTGAATGTCTGCCCTAGATTGTCACTGTAGTTCTAGAACAAGCAAATAACCGCCACATGTCTACCTATTGCTTGAAACCATTCCCTGCTCCCACAAACAATGTTATTCTGGGTTATTCAGTAAAGTGTGAATTGCTGGGAATTCAAAGGATTTTATTCACTAAACTTTGAATTGCAGGCAAAAACTGCTAATCTGGAAAAAACACTCTTCACAATTCTCACTTTAGTGTACGAAAATATATCTCTGCTGAGAACCAAAATATTTTCTATATTCAAGGCAGAAATCATCAATTTATAGGATAGGATTTATAATACATTATTATACATCCCAACGTTTCAAATGGACAAAGAGAGAATCTTTAATTTTAAGTCTTTCAGTGGGGGTGTGGCCAGGGCTGGCCTCTTCTAAGAAATTTTAGGTGACTTATTAAGAACAATAACAATGTATCTCATTTACACGGACTGATTTCTAAACACATTTATCATAGTTTAAAGACACATTATGTGAAGTATTATTGCTGTGGCGCTCTCATTTACACAAACAATATTGAGCGCTGAGAACAGAGGACATTAAGATAGAAGCGATGGATTGGTGTCCAATATAGTGACTGTCCCTCCTAACTAGGGACAGTTGGGAGGTATAAAACAGCATGGTTACAATCACTATTCAGGCATCCCCCATGTAGTTTATTCATTAATCAGTGAGTTATTAACAACTGAATATATACTTAAAAATAAGAGTTTGAGATGTTTTCCTAAATAAACTCAGATGTTAAACCACTGTTTAATAAATAAGTATATCTGTTCTTACCATGAAATAACTGAGAGTAAGACTGAATATGGGAACTTCTTCAGAATAACTTTTTACAATATACATAATCTGATAAATAATTGGGCTTCCTAAAGTGGGCAGTTACTACCATCAGTTGTTTGGTGTTGCTCATATTTGCTATTAAACATTCCCCCTTTAGCTATAGCGTAAAATGGAAGAAGTAGCTTACCATTGTTCTAATCTAGACAAGTTATACTGTGTGTGTCTCTCTCTCTCCTGCAGGTGTCGCTGTGACTGAGTACTGACATGGGATGTGATACTAAGTAGCCACCTGTCTGCATCATAGAAATGTGACAGGACAATCACAGCAGACAGCCAATCACATTTGTGGATACCAAAATCATCCTGAAAAGCCTCCACTCATAAGAAATAGTGGTTGATCCTGCTACTTAGGATCATCAGAAGGTATTAAACATGTTCAGAGCCAGATATGAGAAAGGTAACAAATATGAGCTTTGTCAGCTCTAGAGGGTGATACAGCTTACATGTGTCAGATCTAAAGGGCCATGCAGCTTACATGTGTCAGCTCTAGAGGGCCATGCAGCTTACGTGTATCAGATCTAGATGATGATACAGATTAAATGTGTCAGCTCTAGAGGGTGATACAGCTTACATTTGTTAAATCTAGAGGGTGATACAGCTTACATGTGTCAGCTCTAGGGGGTGATACAGTTTACATGTGTCAGCTCTAGAGGGTGATACAGTTTACATGTGTTAGCTCTAGAGGGTCTGCAGCTTACATGTGTCAGATATAGAGGGTGATAGAGTTAGTATGTCCCAAGCCTACAGGGTAACAGAGCTGGCATCAGATCTGGACAGCACTAGTGCTATGTTGGATCAGTGATAAAGAGAGTGATACTGCCATCAGGGATCTGTGCTTGGACCCATTCTCTTTAATATTTTTATTAGTGATATTGCAGAAGGTCTTGATGGTAAGGTATGTCTTTTTGCTGATGATACTAAGATATGTAACAGGGTTGATGTTCCAGGAGGGATAAGCCAATGGCAAACTAGAAAAATGGTCAGAATTGTGGCAACTGACATTTAATGTGGATAAGTGCAAGATAATGCATCTTAGACATAAAAACCCAAGGGCAGAGAGTACAGAATATTTGATACAGTCCTAACCTCAACATCTATGGAAAGGGATTTAGGGGTGATTATTTCTGATGACTTGAAGGTAGGCAGACAATGTAATAGTGTAATACAAAAAAGACAAATAAATAGTGTATAGGCGCTTCGTGAATATAAAGATAAAAGTGGTGGTAGATATAAGAGTGTTTTCCCAAACACAATAAAAACGTGAATAATAAAGACAAAATTTATATCAAACCACACAATGTGAAATAGTGATAAATATATGCAAAAATTAACCTGAACTTGACAGTATAATCAGGTAATATCTAAAAGCATAAGATAAAATGCAACATAGTGTAATCTGTATACAGAAATATAATGTATATTTATTGAAAATAGAAAATTCTAAATTCCAAAACTCAAGGTACTAGGGGAGTGGATATCCTTTTGTTTGCATGTTTTGGATTCCACTCCCCTAGTACCTTGAGTTTTGGAATTTTTAATTTTCTATTTTCAATAAATATACACTTTTTCTTGAAAACTTCTCCATCCACTTTCTAGGATTTTCGTTTGCCTGTATTGGCACCCTTGGGCCTGCTATACAGAGCCTGGGATGGCTCTGCCAAATGTGAGTGACAGTTTGTTCTGCCCTACTTTAATTTTCTGTATACAGATTACACTATGTTGCATTTTATCTTATGCTTTTAGATATTACCTGATTATACTGTCACGTTCAGGTTGTATTTTTGCATATATTTATCACTATTTCACATTGTGTGGTTTGATATAAATTTTGTCTTTATTAGACAATGTAATAGAGCAGCAGGAAATTCTAGCAAAATGCTTGGTTGTATAGGGAGAGGTATTAGCAGTAGAAAGAGGGAAGTGCTCATGCCATTGTACAGAACACTGGTGAGACCTCACTTGGAGTATTGTACACAGTACTGGAGACCGTATCTTCAGAAGGATATTGATACCTTAGAGAGGGTTCAGAGAAGGGCTACTAAACTGGTTCATGGATTGCAGGATAAAACTTATCAGGAAAGGTTAAAGGATCTTAACATGTATAGCTTGGAGGAAAGACGAGACAGGGGATATGATAGAAACATTTAAATATATAAAGGGAATCAACACAGTAAAGGAGGAGACTATATTTAAAAGAAGAAAAACTACCACAACAAGAGGACATAGTCTTAAATTAGAGGGACAAAGGTTTAAAAATAATATCAGGAAGTATTACTTTACTGAGAGGGTAGTGGATGCATGGAATAGCCTTCCAGCTGAAGTGGT